CTTCACAATCAGATGCAAATGGAACAAGGGACGGGGAGATGGATCTCTCTATACCTCTTCTTGGAAACTTCCTTTTATGGGATCCCGACGCAAATCAGCTCCAAACCATATGAAAGGTTTCACATAGCCATCAAAACTTCAACAATGCGATCCTCCAAATAATCTAATGTCAGTCAACACAGTTGTTTGTCTAATCCCAATTGTTATAATCGGAATATATTTGACACTATTATATGTGCCAATTTTACCAAGAAAAATGAGAACAAATAGTGTGGCTGGATCTGGACTCACAGCCAGAATTCGAAAAGGCGAACTGTAGTCAACATTCAAAAAATTCAGATCTTATGCTGGAATCGGAGTCGAAATTTCAAAAATGCACATTTAAAGCCGGAACCCCAATTTTAATAATGTGCATCCGGAGCTAAAACTGGAGCTAAAATTTTAGAATTTCGCGGTTGCAGCCGAAGCTGAGCACGAATTTTTTAAAAAACATGGAGCCAGAGCTGGAGCTGGATTAAAAATTTGAGAAGTGCAGAAGCGCAGCCGGATCCGAGTTAATTTTTTAAAATTTTTGAGTCATTGTTGAGATCTATTAAACTAAATAAGTATGGAGAGACAAATCGGACCACCGGGCGCTTGCACTTGAGGCATGCGCACTATGCGCCAGGCCAAGCCGCCGATGCCGGAATGAAATTTGGAAACCCACTTCAATACACTGAAAACCTATTTCGCGCCATAACTCGTGTCCCCCTTGTCCACTGCAAAAATTTCTTGCATAAGCGTGATCAGCTACATGAGCCCTACAAAATGATATAGGTCTCATTCCGAAAGGCGGGGGTAACTTCGTGAGGTTTCCTAGTAAGTATTTGCAGTAAGAGAAACAGCAATTAGAACGAGAATTTTGCATTTCTATGTCANCGGGAATTCCATCGAACTCACCGAATGGCACGTTACAATTTGCAGTTGTGATAAGCTTATGTTTGCCATCAAATTGAGATCGGATGGATAATTCGCGTTCTCTTTCGGAGCTCATGAGAACGTTTGTGCATATTCATGACGACTTGTTTACACATATGATGATAGTTGTTTGACTGCATCTCGCGTGAATCGAAATGACGGCTTGTGTACAAGCAGTCAACATGAATGCGCATGATCAAATAACTTACGAGGTGCTTTTGTTGTGGGTGCTTTTGTTGTTGTTGTTGTCGTCGTCGGTGCTGTTGTTGGTGGGGCTGAAATCCAAATTTGAAAATATTCCAAAGATTCCTGAACAACTGAATGTTTTAAAGATAAGCAACAATGTTTCAAAGTTGAGGGAGCAACACTTTTGCTGGATATCAGGTTTCTTGAGAGCAAGATTGAACAACTTACGTCCGGCTATTTGATACGGTGGCGGATACGGTGGCGCATACTGTGGTGGGTACTGTGGTGGATACGGCGGTGGATAAGGTGGTGGATACGGTGGATCTTCTAAAATTAACATTCTTACACGGATATACAACATATTCCAAAAATTTCGAAGCTCCTGTGATAGCAG